TCCCGAACAACCGAATTTATATATGTTACACACGTAGGGCTAATCTTGTTACATTGTTCAGGGGAGTCTCAACAACCATCCCAAAGTACCGTTTTTTTGCGAGTTTTTGGCCTTTGTTTTCACCGCGAGGGTTGCCAGGCGGTGAAAATGCCCGGATGTCCGCCCCGAGGATACGTAATCTTGACGTCACGGAAAGCGCTCCGTCGCTAGAGAGCGCGCTTTATAGAAATGTTTGTCCGTGATTCTCCGACCAAAATGTTGACGAAATTTTTTATTTCCTCATAAATAAATAAATAAAATATTGAATATATATAATAAAAGTTTCGTTTATTTTAAAAAGATTTAACTATAAAACTTAAAATAACCAGTTTAATAATCAAGTGTCAAACGCACCAGTGTCGTCTACACAATATAGAAACAAACTTAAAGTTTACACCGATCATAGAACATCGCATAGTAAGTTAAAAGTGAAGGTACCCAATTAAAAACTAAGACAAATGAAAGAGATTAATTTATTGAAAGTTGTTTTCATGCAAAGTTCTTATGATTTATATTATATCTTTTTTATATTGGTATAATGAGGAAATGAAATCAGATATATTAATAGCGCGCCGTGTGAGTGTTATAATGTTGTTTTCTTTAACCTGTTCTTGGGTCATTTTTTTTTTAAAACTAACTTATGCGTGAATACCCAGGGCCTAAGTCGCTGGTATTCAAGGGCAAATGAACCGCAATTGGTAACCGTTCATACAATGCAATTTATTGAAGAAACTGTATTCCGCGTTTGCAACGCAGCGCACAACTGCATAAAAATACTGCTTATACATCAATTTATTTCATGAATTCAACAATGTGCGCACATTGCATCTGTCCTATATATTTTTCCTCATTTTTTTTGTGTTTTGTGCAATGATAAAGGAGACAGTAAAACAAAAATCTACCACCATTAATTAAGTAAAACATGATCAATTAAAGTAAAGTGTCATTTTTTGTCATTTCCACAGATATATCGACATAAAATTATACAGTTTTACGGCACAAATTTTGTGTAGTTTATAAGTTAAATAGACGATAATTTATTTATAACTTTTAGTGTATTCTAGTGATCGTAATTTATATTATATTGCTTACTGTTAAGCGTAATACATTATGATGTAACGTAACACACAGTTTCTGGTACGTACCATAAATACAATGTTCTTATATTACCCCATTGACGATAGTCCTTACTCGGTACGGTATGACACGTGTTCACGTGCCTGTACTCTGTTCTTATATGCTAATTGAATATCACATTGTAGTTACAGCGTGTAGAATGTTGAATTTATGATACTCCCAACAAGAGAATAAGATGAATATATGCATGCATGCACGTGAATTTATCGTGCGTGTGTACGTGTGCGTGTTTCATTTAATTTTACACCTACCTAGTGACGAATGACATACCAACTCAATATTTTAATCTTTTATATTTATATTTTATCGAAATCATATTAAGTTTGCATATGGTAATTGTACCATATTGTAGTTGAATTTTATTTAAACTCCAATTAAAACGCAACCGTATGTAGGAACGGGTATTAATCGAGTTTAATCGCAACTATATTATAAGTTAATTCAACTATTATATTAATTTAAAGTTAATCCAATGGATTGTCTGTTGTTACAACGATGGTAAGACGTGTATGTGTGTGCGCGGGAAAGGCAGTTATAGCATTTCACGACCAGTGTCCGCTTTTCATCCTCGCCTGTCACGGTGGTACTGTCAGAAATTGTCAACAACGACAAATTGTGGTATGTGTGTTATACAATTAACATTACGACTGGACAAAGTTATGGAAAATGTTATAAAAATGTTGGGGGCAATTCTTATCTTTCCTGTCATACTATGCTTAATCGTGACATCTATCTTAGTTTGTAGATTTAAAGCGGGAGGGTTGTCGCCTGCGCACGCGCGGGAATCCTAAGTGACGATAACAACACACGCTAAAAACGCAAAGGCTCATGGGTAGACGCTTGTTTGTTAATAGTGACACGCTGTGACCACCTGACGCATGCGCAGGTGACGAATCCCCCGCTTTAAATTAATTAATTGCCTGGTCACTAGACTTAGTCCAAGAATATGTACAAGTCTGCATAAAAGCCGTGTTGTTATAAATGCACGAAGCAAGATGGTGGCATATTAGATTGGCGTAAACGTCTCCGTGAAAAATAAAATTAGACATAGTTAAAATGTGATGTGACCAATCAACATCATTGCAAACCGATATAATGTATGGTAAGCAACATATGATTTGTTGCTCTAAGCAGTGACATGTGCGAAATATTTAAAACCTATTTCACCCTTGCCTATAACTTGACCAATTCATTACTTATTAAAGGCAATATGTGAGCTATTTTTGGTATTATTTTTGTCTGCACATTCTTCCTATATTTATAACAGAATCTGTTAGCCATGACTGCAAAATATATAATTTTAGAATCACTAAACACTAGATGCTATTTACGAATGCGCTTTTTAAGTCATTATCTGCATCTGTGTCACGTGACACACTTAGTTGTTTGATTTTGAACACCGTGACAGTTGCACTAATTTAGCCCACTTGCACGAAACGTTGAACGCGCACGTCATGGATAACTGTGAACAAGCTTATAAATGGATGACGTAATCGCACAGAAATCACGAGGTCTATTCCTGGTCACAATATATTTGTAAGACACGAGTTCAAGTACATATATCATATCTCAAATAGTCTAGATATATTTAGCGTTGTTATAAAAATACGAGCCAATATGTGTCATGTTTACGACTAACTCTTAGAAACTGTTCAGGGGAAAAGAGATGGTACGCGAGTATGTTTCTCTAATCTCTAATCTAATCTGCCGTCTCAAAGTTTCTAATGGTCACCTCGTAATTATGAATTATCATTTCATACTAGCATCATGGTCATATATAATTTTTACAATAAAACCAATTAATATGTGTCTATGGATATGTCCGTGTTGCTGCATATGAATGTGCTAGTTGTTCATCTCGTCATTTCACTATGCAATAACCCCACCCTCAGCACCGGATACTGACACGGGTATCGATGGCGTGGCTAGTCGATGCCTTGTAGTTAACGATAATAAATACCATTCTCATTAATTGCTTAAATTATTGACATTATCATACCGGATATAAGAAAGTAAACTTTCAACATGTACTTCAGAAATGTGGCCATATTGCATGTGCATTTACAAATACCTGACTTTTGAGTTAAATATTATTATAACACTCAATAATAAAAAACAAAAACCCAGCTGTGTATGCACTTGTATATACAAAGCAAACACAGAACACATAAAACGTGTGGTTTTTCACATTTTGATATTGGTCTGAAGTTCCAAGGCACCTGGACACTACGGTGAGTATTTGGGCGATTTCAACATTTTTATTTCAGCAATATATCACTATTTTCTCCTATATTTTTATTTGTATGCATGGTAATAGAGACAATTATAAATTACCATTCAGTGAGCAGCAAAACCATAAATTCACGATATATATATTTAACGTACACTGTGAGGTTCACTACATTTTAGGGGCTGCTCAGTTTGTAGGGAATACGACACGTAGCAAGTAAATATCCAGGGATATACTTGTCCCGTATCATGATTAAGACAGGAAGTAGCCAGGACTGTCCAAATGTGAACGTTTTTACATTGCACTGATGGTGAAAAAAGTCGGATTCTCTGTGGGGCGAGAAAGACAATGAAGACAGACTTTATATATGAGTAATGATTGCGTTATTAGATAACATTATAAACATAATGATAATAAGTATTATCAAGGGTGTATAAGATAAGTGTTTGCAACTAGTGTTATATACGACGGAAATCCCATTTGAAGTAACGCGAATTGCGAGATAGTCACAAAATTGCACGACGAATGCACATTTCTGGAGCCAAAGAGTGATTCTGCGAATGAAATGATTAGTGTATGACGAAGATTGTTTTATCCAGTGTAACGTGTATTACGTGAATGGACATTTTAAATTAGGTGATAAACTATCTTTTCGTTTTTAGGTGTAATAACAAATTCGTCAGCTCTCAAAGAGTGCATAAATAATGTTATGCTATTTTCTCACCACTGACCCCCCCCCCCCCCTAGTATGAGAGTCGATTTCAATATTTAATTGAGCAGGCGTACGATGTCATCTACCGGTTCACGCAACACCATTTTAAAAGATAATTTTGCTACGACGTCAGCTGTTATATAATTTCAAACGTAATCTCGAAATCCAACAATATTGTAAGCCAATGTATTACCTTTTACCTTATATTTCCTTTTGCACGATAAATACATCAACATAGTGCAACGTAGGCCCATCGGAGATATCGTAAGTGTAGCAAGTGTTGTATATTCATTCAATGATCAAGGTACATACTGTATACGAATGTTTCGAACATCAAAAATGTTGATTCTGTGGATCATAAAATCAGCATTTCCATGAAATGAAAACTAAATAACGCACATGCGCTTTTTTAATATAATTTACAGTTGCGTGATGAAGATAGTATTGGTACTGTTGATCGGCTTCTGCTGCGCCGTGCACGCAGCGAATATAGCAGCCGAGGAACCTGCAATTAGAGACCTAGAAGAAAACAATGTGATCGAACAGGAGGCTAGACTTGACAAGAGGGACTTGGGCGATGAAGACGCAGAAGAGCGTTTACTTCACGAAAATGTGCGAGAGTTGGATGAAGATGGCGAAGATGGTTTGGAACTGTTCGAAAGACATCATAAGTCGAAGTCAAAGTCGAAGTCGAGGTCCAAATCCAGATCCGGGTCTAAATCAGGAGGTTGGTCTTGGTCTGGTGGTATTTCGTGGAACAAGTGCAAAGCTGGACCCCCAGGGCCACCAGGTCAAAAGGGGTGTCAGGGTCAAAAGGGTGGCGCCGGTGCACCAGGCCAAAAAGGGTGCAAAGGGCCTGCTGGGCCCAAAGGTCCGGCTGGTCCAAAAGGACCACCAGGTCCGAAAGGCCCAAAAGGCCCCAAAGGCCCCAAGGGTGAAAAGGGACAGCGAGGTTGGAAGGGTAAACCCGGCGAAGACTGTAAAGGCGGCAGCAAAAAGAAGTCTGCGTTCACAGGATTGCGTACGTGCGCTGCTTGTGGCTTTGCTAATGGTGAGATCATTCGTTTCAGCAAGTCATTAACCAACGTTGGTGGCGATTTCGTCCACAAAACCGGCATCTTCAAATGCGAGTACGCGGGCACCTACTATTTTTCGTTCAACATGAGAAAGCCCAGTAACGTAACCACGATTCAAGTCGACTTGGAGAAAAATGATGAAAAACAGGTTTCCGTGCACGAGACCGGCAATACCGGTGATACTGGTAGCGCCGGCGTTGTTTTG